AGTGGTAAGATAATACACAAAACATTTGGTAGAGGTGAATGCTACCAGTTACCTCTATCACATAATTGTGATACACTTATTAGATTGTACTTTAAGCCATCTATCAAGTAGACATTCTCAATAGAGTGAGAATCAGTCTTACCTACATTTCCAACCCCAATGATCTCACCTTTCTTCCCATTTCCGAAGGAGACATTACCTCCTTTAAGGTTCTCAAGTGAAAGGAATTGGTTCTTGCTTCCTGTCATATGCTTTGAGCAGCCACTATCAATGTACCATATTAGGCTGCTCCCCTTCACTTGGACCCACAAAAGGAAATCAGGGGTTAGTCTTAGGAACCCAAACTAGTTTGGGTCCCTTTCTATAGGCAAAAGGGTGAATCAAATTCTTTTTAGCCCAACCTGGCAGCCTATTTTTCCCTTGAACAAATTGTTTATTCTTTTGACTAGCTCTTTCTTTTGCAACACATTCACATTTATAGTGACCAGTTTTACCACAATGTGTGCAAATTTTGTTCTCAGGAAGTGTGAGGTACTTGCTTTTGGGATCCCACTTAGGTGCAGAGGTCCCGTAGCCAAGTCCTCTCTTATTGCTACTATGGTGTTCATGTAGCCATGAAAGTGCATCAGAGGACCTATTCCATTTACAGGTTCTATCTAGCTCGTGCTTAACCTTGTTTAGATCCTCCTTAAGGACTCTTATCTGCTCATCTCTTTTGTACAACTCATCTTTCATTTTTCCTACATTTTCTTCTAAAGTGAGTTGTGTGTGATCAGATTTCTTTTTACTAGTTCCTAATTTTAATTTTAGATTTTCAGATTTAAGCTCTAGGACTGTGGTGTCAAGTTCATGAACCTGGTTCTTCAACTCAGCATTTTTACTATCACTTTCACTAGCCCTAAGTTCCAGGTTTTTGCACTTAGCTTTCAAAATCACACACTCCTTAGATAGCTGTTCATTTTCATTGTTTAGATCCTCAGATTCATCAATGAAATCCAGGAGTAACTCAGATAGCCTTTCTTTAGACAAAAATTTAATCTTGTTTTTGAGATGAATTATACTTACCTCAGATTCCTCATCGGATTTTCCAATTGCCATAAGTGCTTGTTCATCTCCATCTTCATCTTCTGAGTCATCATCTGAGCTTTCACCCCAAGCAGCAACCATAGCCTTTGTTGATCCTTTGTTCTTCTTGGGTTGATCCTGTTCCTTCTTCCTGTTCCTTCGTTCAGCTCTTTTCTTCTTCCATTCAATTTCCCATTGAGGGCAGTTTTTGATGTGGTGATCAGTCTTCCCACACTTGTAACACCCCTCATTGGTTTATTTTTCAGGAACCCTTGGTTTGTTGTAGCTTCCACTTCTTGAAGGACCATTTCCTCTCATTAGGTACTTCTTGAAGTCCTTTGTGATCATGGTCATTTCATCCTCCTCTAGCAGCACCTTCAGTGATTCTGAATGTCAGGCTCCTTTCCTTCTTGGGTGCATCCATCTTCATGGTTTGCCTTCTAAGTTCATAGGCAGTGAGATTTCCAATTAGCTCATCCAACTTGAGAGTGGCAATGTTCTTTGATTCCTGAATAGCTGTGATTTTGCTTTCCTAAGAGATTGGCAGTACCCTTGTCAAAATCTTATCAACTTTGTCTTCTTCAAGAATAACCCTTCCAAGAGACTTAAGTTCATTTGTCAGTGTGGTGAACCTTGTATACATCTCTTGGATGGTTTCCCCTTCCTTCATGGTGAAATTCTCATATTGAGAATACAACAGTGTTCCTCTGGACCTCTTCACTTGAGGTGTTCCTTCATGTGCAACTTGCAAAGTATCCCAGATTTCCTTAGCAGTGGTACAACTTTGAATTCTACTGTACTCATCTAGACCAAGTCCACACACAAGCCATTTCTTGGCCTTAGCATTTTTCTCCCATTTTCTTAAATCCTCAGCAGTGCAGTCAGCTCTAGTTTTTGGCACATCCACTCCTTCAACATTCTTCTTTGTAGTTGCTAGAGGACCATCAGTGACTATGTCCCAGAGTTCATAGTCTTCTCCTATGATGTGATCCCTCATCCTGTTCTTCCACCAAGAATAGTACTGACCATTGAAAAGTGGAGGCCTAACAATGGATTGCCCTTCCCAGTTCCCAGGTGGTGCACTCATGTTGATCTTTTCCTAAGGTGTTAGCCTCTTCAAGGATAACCTTCTCTGATACCAATTGATGTTCTAAACGTCAATACCACACAAGAGGGGGGGTGATTTGTGTGGTACCCAATTTTCGCTCTAGAAGAACCTGGTTCTTCTAGGTATACTAACTACTGCTGTTTGCGGAATAATAAATACAAAAAATAAAGAACACAGAGATTTTTACGTGGAAAACACCTGGCTCAAAAGGTGAAAAAACCACGACCTACTACTCAGTAGGATTTTCCCAAACTTCCACTAAAATCACTGAGCCAAAATAGCATTTACAAAACTCTTGTAAACCTAAGGATTAACTTTAATCCCGTTGTGGCAATCAACATCTAACTGCTGCGACAATTTCAAGTTAACTCTAACTTGAATACTCAATATACCTATTACAATTGCTTCTAGATAAAGCTGAAAGGTACAATATGAAACACCTACTACAATTGAACTAGAAATAAAGAAAGACACATAAAACTCTTTATGGAGCTGGTTCTTCAATCTGGTTCATGTAGCTTCAGGTTTGCACACTTGAATCACACACGAACTGCTTGCAAAAAGCCTTGCTATTTTGCTCCCAATTCACGTTTAACTTCTGCGTTTTTGTGCAACACTTTAATGTGAGAACATCCTGCAATTTATAGAGTTAGTAGATGAAGAAATAACTAGAGTTCTGATACAACTCTTCCTTGGGGGAAGAGTTCTAGTTGATTTCAACTTCTAACTCCTTCCCTATCTTGGATAGTGTTCTCTTTGATTAAGGACTCCTTCTCCTTATCAATTATGCAACCTTTTCGATCAGGAGATATTAAATACACCAAGTTAAGCTTATCTCCTTCACGTGCATCCCACATGCTTGAATCTGCCCGTTTTTGTGAACCTGAGGAATGGACCACTGGATAGACCTGGTTCATGTCTGAGTTCCTTTGCCAGTCTTCAAAACTAACCTTTACTTGGGCCAACAATACTAACCATCAGCCTGAAGTTTCAAATGTTCCTATTTGAAAAACTTCACACCTTATGATTTATTTTTTTTGTGTTTCACTGTACAGATTTGCTTACATGTTCTTTGCTCCTGCAGCATCAGTAGCTGGTTGGTCCTACTGTAGACCCGTTATTGTAGTAGATGCAACGTTTTTAAAGTCCAAATGTCGTGGTGTTCTATTTGTTGCTATATCAAAGGATGCAAACAATCAAATCGTTCCTCTATGTTTTGGTGTAGCAGAATCAGAAAACAATGAGGCATACATTTGGTTCTTCGGGGAAATGAGAAAAGCAATTCAAGTCTGTCGTGAACTAGATTTCTTGTCAGATAGAAACCAATCGATCACAAATGGGATTAGAAAAGTTTTTCCTGAAGCTCACCATGGTATCTGCCTCTATCACTTTGAGAAAAATTTAAAGCAAAGACATGCAAAAGCCACGGTAATAAATTTTTTTCAAAGTGCTGCAAGGTCATACAAACGTGAAGATTTTAATCAGTTAATGTCCCAACTCAAAAGTATTGACAAGAAAACATACAATTACATAATGGAAGAGCCTCCCGAGAGATGGGCTCGATCGTGGTTCCCACGGCGGCGTTATGATATGCTAACAACAAACATGGTAGGATCAATGAATTCTGTTTTACTAAAAGGGAGTGAAATGCCTATTTTAAGAATGTTAGATTTCATCCAAGAAAAGTTGGGAGAGTGGTTTTACGAACGGAGAAAAAAGGCAAATGAAACTTTTCACAGAGTATCAATATTGGCAGAAGAAGAGATGACTAAGAAGATGGACTTGGCTTGCAAAATGTTTGTGAGTATATTTATTAACTTCAGCTTTTTATATGTGTTGCAGTGATTTACTTCTTACATTTAAAAAATTTCATACTTTTTCTTTTTGAAGCAAAAATACACTAATATAGTTTGTCTTAATTTTTTATTCCTTGTTAGGTGTTCAACCTTGACTCAATGTTGTTTAGAATAAATAGTGAAGGAATCGAATTCATTGTGGACTTAAAGAAGAGAACTTGTGACTGCCTGGAATTCCAACTTGATGAATTGCCCTGTCCACATGCAATTGCTGCTATTAATAAGAGATATTTGCAGAAATCTGATTACTGCTCAAATTGGTATTCAACGGAAACATGGTTGAAAACATATGAAGGGCATGTGAATACCGTGGGAGATCAACAATCATGGGAAATACCAGAAAATGTACAATCTGAAATCACAAAACCTCCCGATGTAGAGATTTTACAAGGAAGAAGACAAAAGAAGAGGCATATACCTGCGACTGAATCATCAGTACCATTCAAGTCTACCAAATGCAGTCGATGTAAACAAGTTGGCAATAACAGAACAACTTGCTTGTCTTCTCCAGCACCTTATCCATATTCCAAGAAACACACTGAAAAATACTCCAACCTTCAATAATCCTTGGTCTGAATTTAAACTTTCTTTATTGTATGACATAATTGAAATGTGATTTTTTTCATAGGAATAAAAAAAATAAGCTCTTGGACAATTTTATATACTGCTAAAGTACAAATCAC